ATTATTATTATATGTGGTTTTAACATTATATTTTAATATTGTATTTCTATTAATTGTTGTCGTGTTTCTATGTATCGTTGAACTTTATCTGTTGTAAGCCGCCCTGAGCCAGCCTTGGCTGGGAGGGTGGGGTAAAAGTTTAAATAAATAAATATAAATAAATAAATAAGAGCATTCCCTTGATTGGTCTGTTAAGTTGGTTTAAAGTTAGGTGATTAGGCATGTTGTTACTTCATTAGTGGTCCAGGCAACGTAACCTTAGGAACTGGGAGAGATACAGCAGCTGTAAATAAAGATTTTCTGATAAAGCCACAAAAATCATCAGGACTGCCAAAAGCCATCATGGCCCCACCCAGACAAAAATTCCACCTGTACCCCCCATATGACCCTGATGCAAACCAAATATTATAACAATACAAATCACTTGGTTGGCTGTTACCATGCACTTATAATAATAAAATGATGTTTGTGTCTATCTATCTGTCCATTTGTGGTGAGCATAACTCATCAGGAAATGAAGCTAGGGATCTCAAAATTGGCCACCACCTTCAGGATCATAATGGGAGTTTCAGGGCTAAAAATGAAAGGACTTGGAATATCCTGGTCTAAATTATCTCCAGACAACCCCTACCCACTCTTGTGCTATTTGCAATGGAAGCTAAGAGTTTCTGTGGCAGGCATAACTCGTTAGAAAATAATACTATGTGGTTAAAAACTGGCCACTACACACATTCAGCCAGGCTTACCCCACAGGGTTCTTGTGAGGATAAAATGAAGGACAGGAGGACAATGGAAGCTCCTTTGGGTCCAAAAAGAACCAGTTTGGTGTAGTGGTTAGGGGTAGCAGACTCTAATCTGGAGAACCAGGTTTGATTCCCTACTCCTCCACATGCAGCTGCTGGGTAACATTGGGTCAGTTACAGTTCTCTCAGAGCTGTTCCTTCAAGAGCCCCACCTACCTCGCAGGGTGTATGTTGTGGGGAGAGGAAGGAAAAGGAGATTGTACGCTGCTCTTAGACTCCAAGTGAAGGGTAGGGAATAAATCCAATCTCTTCTGGTGGATTCTCGGGTCTAGTCTGAACAAACCTTGATGGTCTGGCTATTTGACTAAGTTGCTCTGTGGAAAAAATGGCTACTTTTCAACTGATAACAGAAACACTTAAGAACATTTTTGATGCAGCTCTGTGGGCTATCACAGAGAGGGCTATCCAAACTCCCCCAAATCATGCAATTTGAGTGGCTGCTGGAGCAGAGCTCCGCAACTCACCTTGATCACGCTGCGCCAAAACCGAAAGCCATATCTTGTCCCGTTCCAAAGGACCAGAGCAGGGGACAATGTTACACTCATTCTAAAAGCCTATGTGTCCTTACACAAAAATAAGCTGTACTGAGCACAGTGGATTTATTCTCTAATAAATCCAAACTCCATTATAAAAGATTTGAATATGAGAATCCATAGATATGAAATTAACACAATTGAAACAGATTGTATCAGTATTTGTATGAAAACTTTTATAAGGAACTAGCCTGATACCTGTGCTTTGCTATGCTATTTAAGTTCCGTAAATCCACTTATAATACTGATGATGTGAAATTTGAAATGTGACATTTGTTGTAGGAATTCTAATTGAGAAGATTGTAGTGTAAGAAATGAAGTGAGACATATGTACTTCCCCCCTCCCTCTACCGAAGGACCTCTCTCTAGACCACATGGGTGGCTCTGCCCTCAGGTGCTAGGATCACCAGGCTGCTTGGTGAGCTCACTCTGGAGCAGGCCACATAGAACTGTCCATTTAAGAAGCAGCCGTCTGTTAAGTCAACTCCTGCTACCTTCCACGAAAGTGATGGCCTTTCTACTTGTGTTCCTGAATTGTTTTGCTCATATGGAGACTGTGTTGTTCTGAGCACCTCAGGGTGATCTTGCTGGTACTTGGACTGTGCAGTTCAGTGCACTGCAGGAGTACTATGTGCAAATGTCTTTGCCACATTCCTAAGTTGCCTCCTCCTTGTAGCGTTGGTGTATCTGGCTCGACATTTGCCAGGAGCTTTCTTCAGGGCAAGTAAGAGGTGAGAGGTGTGATGGGGAGTTGGTGTGATGTGGTGATGTGGTGGACATTTCTTCAGGTTCATGAGGGAGGCACGCATCGAAATGGCTCCTAGAAATGTCCTTTACTATCTCCCCATAAACATTCATACCCTGGCCCTGCTCCTACACCTGACAGACACCGGCCTGTCTGGTGTTGGGGGGGACTGTATTTAAAGGCATCGAGGAGGCTGGGTCAGCAGCAGTGCTAAGGCAATCCTGCTAAGCAAACCTCCCCAGTGGCTGTAAGCTTCCCACCTCCTCTCCTACACCTGACAGGCA